GAAACTTTCGGTTTTGATCATGCATTATGACCTATAAACAATCAGGTCAAATATGAATATTCGTTTGATTTTTGTACTTGATTTATATGTTGATCCCACATTTCTCCTATTATTATTATTATTTTTATTTTTAATAAAACGCTGAAGTGGTAGGTAGATGCAAGATAAAGGTAGAAAACATAGTTTAGTGCTGTAAGAAGGCAAATGGAAATCTACCAGTTTTTAACACCCAATGTAGTAACTGATTCAAGCCAGGATTAGCAATTGATACTTATATCACTGGTGAAATAATTTTGGAGTAAGGTTCACGTGGTCTCAAAATACCTCCCACAGATAAAAATGTAATAATTCTGAAGGAAACTACCTTTGTGATGGAGAGGTCTGGCAGTTATTACCTAACTTGGTGATCAAGGTTCGCATCACCAATTGTTGGGACCATCCGACTTGACCTGCCTTCTATGCAGTAAGAAGTATATACATTATCGCGAACACAGAATTCAGAGCCGAAATGTTTGACACAAATGCAATCAACAAGAAACACCTAGACAAATCCCAAATGTGGATGTTCTAAAAGTAACTGGTCTGAGTCCTTTAAAAAAGTCAGTATCATTTAAAACCAAGAACATAGGGGTTTTTTTAAATTTAGAAAGGCTAAAGACAACAACAGCCAGATATACTGCATGTACCTTAATTGGCCCTAGGTCTAAAAAGAAAAACCTATAAAAGATATTTTTGGAACAATTAGAGAAATTTGAATACTGATTACATATTAGATGATACGGAATTATTGATAATGTTTCCTATGTGATAAAGGTATTGTGGGTAGGTAGGAAATTACTTTTTAAGGGATACTTCTGAAACTTTCAGAAGTGATGTGTCATAGTGTCTGAAACTCCCTTTCAAATGGTTCAGCAAAAACTGTGTGTGGCTGAACCATCTGAAAGGAAGTTTCAGACACTGTGAGAGGGAGAGGAGAGAAAGGAGCAAACAAAGCATATACAGATGTTCACAATTTTTCTGTGGATTTGAAATTTTGTTGAAATAAAAAGCTTAAAGCTAAAACATGGTTACATGAATGATACGTGGACCTGGCACCAATGGCTCATTTTAGCCAAATTACTTTTAGGCACGCTTCCTTGGGCTCTAAACCTACTATCTCTAGGTCTCCCAGTTCTCTGGGAAATGATTTCAAAGCACCCGTAGTTATGTATTACTTCAGAATTCACTCCTGCTTAGTTCTTTATTTCCCCTGAAAGTATTTTAGGATTAAATTAAATGGTGGTTTATTTTCTCAGTGATATTGAGCTTATGAAAGAGATGCATTTTAGGTTTTAGAATTTTACCACTACACTGAAATAAAGTCAGGTTACCTATCTTCCCTCATGATAAGTCTCATCAGTCAACAAGTGTCCCTTTGCTTGGTTTTTGTTTTCTGGGAGGCCAGGTCATGAGGCTGGGCCTGGAGGCTTCTTGAGTGCCCCCTGCTCTCCAGTGCTTGACTACACAGGGCCTCCCAAGAGAATGCTGGGTAGTTTAGGTCATCTGGATTTGGTAGGTTAGATTGCTGCCTGTGGCCCAGTTTATTTCTTAATTCTGAACCTCTTTCCATGAGTGACAATATGGATACCTGGGCCCTTGAGCACCCTACCAGCCACGGCTGGGCAGGGCTCTGCTGGGGGCGTGTGTGAGGCGTGTTAGTCCCAGGTCCCTGCTGTTACTGTAAAGGGGCATTCCCTTCTTGGCTTTTGTATTGCTCTGTCCCCCACCATGCCCGTATCTCCTTCCAGTGGTTGATAGAGGTAAGCATGAAAGCTTTGGTACTTGAAAGTCCTGTGCAACTTTCTTTAAAAAAAATAATAGGGAACCTTTGTCACTTGATTTAGCCGAGAGCTGCACACAATGTCTTAATTTAGTTGTGCTCAGAGCCAGAGGCATCCTGCATTTGCTGACTGCTCTGTTGTTATTATGGTAGTGGTTAGGTCTGTGATGAAATTTGTAGAAAATAAGAATGTTATTTTATAGCTTCTACATAAGTAGTGTCAGCATATGTAAGACATGCTCTTCTAAAGCAGTGAAGGCCTTATCTTGCCCCTTCTCTTTGTATCGCACTCCAGAACCTAAAGCAGCGGTATTATACTGGGTACGCAGAGAATGAAGTATTGGAAGTCATGCAGCATATGGCCAAAAACGTAGTGAAAGTAAATGAAAACTTAACAAAATTCATCGTAAGTATTCTTCCCTAAGCTGTGGAGAACATTAGATTGTGGGTTTGTGTATGAGAGTATGTGTATGTGTGCATGTGTACCTTTTCATGTAAGTGTACTATTGGCATTTGTGAGTCTATTTTAGCACAAACTCTTTATATTTTTCAAGCACAGTGTGAGATGGAGTAGACTGGTCAACCCTGAAAGCAGACTCTCTTTAAAGCAAGGTCTGTAGGCTAACCGTGTCTAGGCCCAGAATAGTCAGCTGCGCGGCTGTTCACTGATGCTCGTCCCAGCCTCCTGGGAAGGGTGCTGGCTGGCATATGGTCTGGGACAGCAAGGGCCCACCTCGGAGGCCCTACAGAAGCTGAGGGTATGCAGGTAATATAGTAAATACCATTTTTATCCAGGGTCTTTGGACCTTGGTCCAGTATCTTTTGGGACAATGCCTGAAAGGCACCCAAATAGCAAGCCTGGTGAAGGAGAGGCAAGAAGCCCATTCAGGAAGCCTCCTGGGGGCCTGGGGTCTGTCTCTGTGTGGCCCCCTGAGAGGAGGAGCAGAGGAGATTGGATGGTGTCCTGTGCTTGTGTGACACCGACTATCAGAGCTCACCAAGCGTCTGGTGACAGAGCCAGCTGTGTGTACCAGCTGTCCTCATAGCCTGAGCCCTCCTGTACGTGCAGTTCTGGCGTGATCCAGCACACTGTGGGAGTGTGATGTGTTTGCAGGTTTGAGGGTGTTGTCTGGGATCTGCTAGGCACCAGTTGCCACTCGCTTTTATTGCCAATTTTTGCTGCCAGTCCTAGTGAATTTATTATGTCCCAATGGCACGTAGGTGTGATCAATCCAGCTTCCACCTCCCACTGCTCTGGTAGCTTATGAGAGAAAGCCTGCTCCTTGGACCCTGAAATCATTTGTTCCCCCATCACCTATGCTACCAGCCAGGCTTTATCCAGCACTAGATGTGGGAGGAAGTTGTCAGGCACAACACACTGGCCCCACAGCCTTCCCTGGCTTTAGTGGTTTGGCATCATCCTACTGTCTGGAGATTGTGGGTCTGGCCCTTCCATCCTTGTGAGTTAGACTAGGAACAAGGTGCAGGGAGTGTGCGGGGATCCGGAGGCGTGCTTAACCACAGATGACTTCTGCAGGCCATCAAGAATAAGTACGCAAGCAGTAAGCTCCTGAAGATCAGCACAATTCCGCAGCTCAACTCAAAAGTCATCCGGGAGCTTGCCTCCCCTCCGACGGGACGGGCCTAGGCTGCCGTGGCCTTCAGGGAAGAGGGCTTCCTCTGTGCACCTGGCCTTGCTCAGGTGGAATTCTTGACTTTGTATATAGTCCTCTGGTCTATTTCATGAAACCTTCTCTTAGACCTATTTTCTAAATGTATATTGAGGAAAAATAAAGCTAATGATTTTTCTTAAGGTATTCTGTATTTGTGGGTTCCGTAACTGAAGAAATCCAGTAGAAATTTGCTTGGACTGATTGCTTTCTGAGCTGTTCTGAATAGTATGTAAATAGCCTTCATGGCTTTAGGAAAGATCTTCCTACCATTTTCTCAAATGAAAAAAAACTAGAACTAGGAACATGACCTCAGTGAATTCTAACCCATTCTTAAACTTTGTGAATTTAAAAAGAGTGATTCTTTTTATGAAAATTTAAAATGGGAGGATAACCATGATGATTCCCTTTCTAGAGCCTACTTAACTGTTCTCACCTAATTCCTCTATGGAACACCTGGCCCGCTGGGGCAAAGGCCCACAGACGGAGTGTTCATGGCATGTCTCTCAAAGGCATGGCCCAGACCAGGAATGGCAGTCCTATGGGGTCACAGCTGGAAAAAGAAAATGGGCACATCCTGTTTAAGTTGAAACTTGGAATGTATTTTCCTGTTGTCCTGATTCAACTGCATTATGGGTTATTTTGTGTGTGTGTTGAGGGGGGAGGCATTTGATCACATTTAACATTGTTTTCCAGGGGAAAATACATTCTCAGTCTCCAGCCACTAAAAAAACCAAACGAAACAAATGAGTTTCTTATAGCAACAGCTTCCCAAACAATTAGTTCAACAAGCTTTCATTGTTTGAGAGGAAGGAGTTAGTGAAATAGATTTGGGAAGCATCGCAAAGTCACATAAGATTCATAAAGACTGAGAAGCTTCCCAGTAAACTCACTGACCTCAGGATTCCCCCACCCTAGGGTGTGGTAAAAGCGCCTTCTGCGAGGCCCTGAAATCCTCTGGTGCTGGTTCTGTGACCCGGCTGTGGCTTGCACCGCACCTCAGGGAGAGCCTGGGCCCGGGTAGGGCTGACTTCTCACCCCACTTCCCTGAGCTGGCCAGGGCTGCTGACTTGAAGGTCTTTAGGTTTCCAGCATTTAGAGGAACTGGGTATCTTTAAATGTTGAAGTCCTAATATAAAGTTTTATAAATATCCCTTGTTGAGTTGGTGACGCGTGTTCCCGTGGTAGCCTTAGGCTGACTTAGGTCACAGGTGCCAATGGGAATGAAGTGAAGCCATGAAAGAGCTTTCCTGGCTCTGGAAGGCAGTTAGTTCCCAGGAATGCTTGAGCTCCAACTTCTCTTCTAGAAAGGGTGGGTTTTGTAGGAATATTCCAAAGACATTATATAGCTTCTTTATTACATATTTTGCTTAAACATTAAATAGCCTGACTCAGGAACTTCATACTTGCAGGAGGTCATAAAAAAAGACCTTTAATATACTTCCTTCTGTGTCACAGCAGACACCCAAAACTAAAGTGTTATAAATGTGAAATAACCTATAAAAGTAGAAGTCATCCTGTCATAAAAGCACTGAAATTAGAAAATGAGATGATTGTAACCACAGTATGTAAAGACCACAGGCCCTGAAGCTGGGTTGCTTGGGTCTGAGTACTTAGCAGCTGTGTGATTTCTGCGCCCATTTCCGTTTCTGTAAAATGGGAAAAAAGTGTCTTACTTCATAATGTCGTACTAAATAAAGTATGTCAAGCCCTTAGCATATCGCATATGGAGGTGCCGAATATTAGCAGCAGTTATTTTAAGGAGGTTGACGGTCTTGAAAAGAGATGAACCCTGGGCATTCAAAGATAACGATAGACAGCTCTTGCCCATTAAAGGTATTTACAAATTTATAGCTGTTGAGTCCTATTTGTGAGTTTTTTCTTTTCTTAGGTTTCTTGATTTCTGAGAGAAAGATATTGGAAGTTTAAAGGTTGACAACTAGACTACCAAACTCCTTAACATGTGTTGAGAATTCAAGACAAAGATTAAAAGCATGAGCCTTGGGGTCAGATCAGGGTTCAAATATGGCTCCTCTCCCTAAAAGCTGTGTGACCTTGGGCAAGGTAGTGAACTGGACTGGGCCTTCTCATTTGCAGAGGGGAGGTTTTACACGAGGCCATCCTAGCTAGAGGGAGGCAGGTGTAGTACAGTTGAGGGAAAGGCAGCAAGATTAGCTGGTAGGAGTAAAAGTGAGTTCCTACATTCAGGAGGAACTGTGAACATGAGCTGGGCCTTGAAAGACACAAACGAGGGGAAGGGGCAGCAGTGCAGAAGGGCTCCCCTCCTTGTGATCACAAAAGGGAGGTGTGCGGGGGGCACAGGCTGGTCGCTGGAGATGCGTGTGCATTCGCTGCTCCTGAAACGGACTCCGCCCCCACCCACCAATGGAACCACCCAGAAAACACCTATAAAAGAAAAAACAAGGAGAGACAGGGCCAGCTTTAGTCACTGCAGCTGTACTCGGGAGGCCTGGTGGGAGTTTAGAGGGAGTCACGAAGGGAAAGCTTTTGGATTGTCTGAGCCCTGCTGTGTGGCAAGCCAGTGGAGATGGTAACATATGCGGAGGCTCAACAGTGTTTTTTCTCTCTTGCTCCTGTGAGCATCTCTGCCGGAAAGGAGACATGTCTGTAGGAGAAGGAAGCCCTTTCGCTGGTGCCCTGGGCAGCCTGCTTTCTGCAAACTGTCCCCAGCAAGAGATGCCCAGCCCTCCTTGCAGTCTTGGCCACATGATTTCAGTCGCAGCCATTAGAATATGAGTGGACATGGTGTGTGCATGGCAGGGAATGTCCTTTACGGAGAATCTGTGTCCCTCATCCCCTTTCCACCTTCATGGGGCTGGACTTGGTTACAATGGTAAGTCACATTTGATCAGATGGGCTGAGACAACACCTTGGGGTGTGGGTGGTTTGTACCCACTGGTTGGTGAGCAAACTCATAAAACAGGCTTCATTCATCCTTTGCCCTCTCCATGGGCGTCTGTCTGGCTTCCCGAAGCACTGTGGAAGAGACGGTCCTTTTGCCTCTTCCCAGATGCTCTCTCTATGGCACCCTCTACTGATTAGTACTGACCCGTCGGGTGGCTCTCAGAACGTGGCTTCTGGTCCCTTGGGGGTCCTTGAGCCTTTCAAGAAGCCCATGAAGTCAAAACTATTTTAATGGTTAATACTAGGATATTATTTGCTTTTCTTTCACTCTTGTCTGTCAGTAGTGTATGGTGGAATCTTCCAGAGGCTACATGGCATGATGATGTCATTACTCTGGCAGTTAGGGGAATGAGTGGTTTGTTGGTAGTACAAAATTTTGTTTGTACTACCATATATATTTTGAAACCATATATATTTTGAAAATACGGATAGATGAAACTGATGAAAGCAGAGCTCTTTGAGGCCCTCAGTAATATTGTGAGTGGAATTGGACCTTGAGGCCCAAGTGTTTGAGACCTGCTCATCTCTGACTAGTATGAACACCTCTGCCCTAGCAGCCACATTCAGGCCTGCCCACTTGGTTCTTGGTTCAGTTGCATCTTTGCACTGCATTTTCTAGTGCTATACATGTGTGGTGTATGTGCACATGCACTCCCCTTATCCAAAACAGGGTGGCCCATTCTTTTTTTTTTTTAATTTTTTATTAAGGTATGATTGATATACACTCATATGAAGGTTTCACATGAAAACACGTGGTTACTACATTTACCCATATTATCAAGTCCCTACCCATACCCCAATGCAGTCACTGTCCATCAGTGCAGCAGGATGGGTGGCGCATTTTTGAAGCAGGATGGCTCTTTGATCTTTATGTTCAGCTGACAGTGTACAGAATAGCAGACCTTGCTAGACCCAAAGATTAGAGGAAGCCTAAGATGATGACTTTAAGCCTTCTTCACCTAAAAACATGAATTCATCCACCTATTAAGCATTTGTTGAGCACCTCCTTGAACCTGCCACTGGGTGAGGCACATGGGTGCAGGGGTGGGGGCTTGCTCTGTGATCCCCATGGAGAAGGCCTGTGGGGGTATTTAAGTCAGTTCTTGTTTTGTCAGCTAGAGCCTGAGGGGTCCCAGTTACACACACGTTTAATGCCAATCCTTAAAGTTAAAGCAACTGATTTTCCTTGCAGCAGGCTTTTTAAAATGCGTGATATTAGGGAAAATTATTTAAAGCTAATACATTGGGAGATTCTCATGATGGTGGCATTGAGTAGGGAAATGGGAATCTCCTCCAAAAACCATATATATTTTGAAAATACAGCAAATACAACTATTCCTAAAAGAGAGACCAGAGGATACAGTACAACAGCCAGGCTACATCTACATCTGCAAGAACTCAGCATCTCACAAAGGGGGTAAGATACAAAGCTGTGACCCAGTGGGACCCAAGCACTCCCCCCACCCCAGCTCACTGGCAGGAGGAAAAGAATCAGAGTGGGGAGGGAGTGGAAGCACAGGACGCTAAATAACCTGCCCTAGTAATCTGCACCAGGAGCACAGACACACATTGCATGGTGTACTGGATATTAGAGAAATGGAAAAGTAAAATCCAAGACTGAGACTGCGAACAGGTCCCCACAGCCAGCTGCCCTGGGACAAAATAAGAGCAGACACTTTAAAAATCTTAAAGGAACAAGGGTTTAATAGACAAAATCATCCTGGCACACTCAGCCCAGCAGGCTGGGCACTTTAAGGAACTTCAGGCATCCTAACCCCCTGAGTGGCAATATAGCTCTGAAGCCATTCATGGTGATAAGCAGCCTGCCATTCATTCCCCCTGCCAGCACTGCAAGCAGACCAGCTGACCCACCATTGCTGCAGAGCAGGCAGGGAGCACCCCCCACACAGAGTCTTCTCCCAGCACCCAGCTAACCGGGCCAGACCCAGAGGCTGCCTTCTGCGTGCAGTTGCCCAGCACAGGCAGTGGAGAGTCGGCACAGATCCCTGAAGGCACAAAGGGACTTTACTCTCACAGCGAACACACGTTGCTTGCTGGCAACTCCCGCCAGTGCCATAGGCCATCCTGAAGGCTGCCCCACCCATTGCAGCTCGGGATGAACCCAGAGGCTGCTCCTGTGTGTGGTTAACTGGCACAAGCAGTGGAGATGGGCAGGGTGACCAGCAAGCAGGAAGGGACTTCATTCTCCAAGCTGACACACA